TGTATGGGAAAGGTGGAATATTACGGTAACGCCTTGTATCTCCACACCAGACGTCATCCACTCATTATTATTTTTGTCTTATCAGCTGTGTCCCATCTCTCTACGAGAGGCGCTGAAGATCGCTTGAGGCTTCCTTTGTTCTTCTTGGTCGAAACTTTCCTTCATATCTGGCTTCTTCTTCGTCCGTCTTCATTGTCCTCGATCCCAACTTCCTCTCACCTCTTCATTCTCTTGATCTTTGTTGTGATCGAAATCCCCTTTCCATCCACGGTTCTTCCTACCCCGCTGTCAGCGGGCCGTCGAGTCAGCCGCTGTCGTCACCCACGGTTCACTCTCAGGTCATATACAGAGATCTGTTGACCATCAATCCATGATATTTCTACCCGTATCTGGTCACACGCTCGAAGCTAATCTACGGTAACCATGTCGCGGTACGACGACTACCGCTCCTCCGCCGAGAGGGTGGAGCGCACTCGAGAGCGCCGTTACTCTCGCCCTCCTGTCCTCGACCGTCCCCGTTGGTCCGAAGAAGATCGCTTCGAATCCCGCCTACATGAGGTTGACAGATACGGTCCTCCTGCCCGCCGGTCGGACAGATTTTATGAGGACGACCATCTGATCCATACCTCGGGTCCACTGGTTACCTACGACCGGCCGCGCGGTGACAGCCCTCCCCCGCGCCCTCGCCTGCTGCGTCGCCAGTCTTCCTTGGATACATTTGACCGCATCCCCTCGCGCAAGCTCGACGAATTTTACATTCGCGGGCATCGGCCCCGCGAGCCGCGTGCGCCTTCCATTCCCCGGAGACGTCCCTCCCGCCGACATAGAGAGACTGATTACTACGAAGACATTCGCATAGAGGAGCCAGACTACTATGGCGACGAGGAGTTACGGATTCTCCACGAGCGAGATCGGTACGCCGCTCATCCGCGCCGGTCGACTGGTCGTGTCCGCGAGGAAGTAGTTGAAGAGATTGGATATGAGAAACCGTATCCTCGCAAGGGCAAAACTCGCATGCCTCGAAGACTGGTGCATACACATGCGATCAAGAAGTTGGGATATCCGTACGAGGAAGAGGTATTTAGATGACATATGAAACGCGAGAGGAGGGATTGTCGGTGCTAACGCTTTGTAGGATGACCGAATCACGATTCAGTTGGCCCTTTCCAAAGATCAGATTGACGAAGTCATCAGCCTAAGTCGGGAGATCAGGCGCCAGACAGAAAGTTAGTAACCACGTGCACATTTGTGAAGTAATGTTCGCTGACTCTTCCCCCAGCTCGGACCATATATGCTCGCCGTTCACCATCGCCGATTCGTGCGCGGCCAAGAGAAAGAACTGTCGAGCGACTTACGATGGAAGCCTACTCCCCCCGAGCCAGTCATGACACATTGATCATCGAGAGATCGCCCTCCCGTCACCGATCTCCATCGCGCCATTACGAGCTCAGCGAGAAGCGAGTGACGAGGGCTGTCTCCCGCGCACGATCAATATCAGTCCATGGGCGCCGTCGCGGACTCTCCTCTCCAGTACGGATGGTGGAGCGATTTGATGATAAAGTCGATTTTGATAAGAGCGGTACCGGTCCTCTTGCCATCGTCGTGCGCCCTCGAGACAGCGATGAGGATCTTCGTGAGCTCAGACGGTTGGAGATCAGCGAGCGAGATGAAATGATCCGTGACACCCAGCTTGCCCTTCCCAGTGGTGAGGTTGAGGAGATTACCGAAGTGAGGAAAGACCGCAGAGGTAGGTTGGCCTTGTTCCTGTGAAGCATTGCTGTCGAGATTTCTGAGACTTTGTATAGGTCCCAATCCCCGAATTCTCCGCGCAATGATGGCAACCTTAACCTGAAGGATGACTTTATGCGACTGCATCCGACTTCATCACGACTAACGACTTGTTTATTCATTTTCGGGTCTCTTACATCTTCGTTCCTGTATCATCATGGATGCAATCCTCTTCCTTGAAGCAATATGTTTATTTTCTGGCAATGCTGGCGATGCGGTTGACGGTATTTATCTCTTATTGATTGATGATAAATTTGATGATTAGTGTACGACCCCCTGCCTTCGATGTTGCATATCTGCAACCTCGTGCGATTAATATGTTTGCATTATCATGATTATACATATGGGCATGTTGGCAATTGACAGCAATAGATAAACCAAGTGTGGTAATCAGGAATTCCCTAATTCATAGAGTGAAATTCAGTCACAGCAGCATCTAGATGGAGACTCAGGACCCTTGTAGCGACGTAGACTACCTTTAGGTATGAGGGATTATTTGTGGCGGTGCGACGGAATCGAGGCGGTGTCGAGGACCACGGGCGATGTCAGACATCCCGCACGGTCATCCCCAAACAAACCAATTTGCTAAACAAGCTGATTCGATTCCTCAATCTGCCAGTACTCAAGGCTGTGGTTCCATCGGTTGTATTTTATCGGTCTACGAAATTATCTGCCACTATGGACAAATTCCAAGCCTTCGGAAAGAACCTCAGGTGAGACGAGATGATTTGAAAGCTCCTGTCATGGGGCTATTCTGCATATCTGCCTACAGCGCATGCAATGCTAACAGGCTGTCACTTCTCAACAGTGCGAGCTTCACCCCCTTTGCTGCGCGCACGCAGCAGTTGATCAAGGAGCAGTTGGGTCAGGTTGAAGACAAGACCCAGCTCCCTGATGAATACATCGAGCTCGAGAAGCGCGTTGATGCGCTGAAGCTGGTACACCAGAAGCTCCTCCAGGTGACGTAGGTGTCAAGACGGCCCCTGTTGACACTGAATATGACAAATAACCTTTCCTTCTGTACAGCTCCCAGTACTCCAACGAGGCCTACGACTATCCTCCCAACATCCGCGAGTCCTTCAACGACTTAGGCCGTACCATCAGCGAAAAGGTCCAGCTTCTGTCGCAGGCCTCGTCCCCCGCCGAGGCCCAGGCCGCCCTGGTCGCCCCTCCATCGGCCAAGCCCCAGCCTAAGACCTTTAACCATGCCATCGCGCGCGCCTCTCTGGCTGGATCCCAGACCCTGGCACAGGTCCATCCCGGCGAGGACCCGCTGGCGACCGCGCTCGAGAAGTACGCGCTCGCTTCGGAGAAGGTGGGCGAGGCCCGCCTGGCGCAGGACGCTCAGATCCAGTCGCGCTTCCTGGCTGGCTGGAACACCACCCTGAACACCAACCTGATGTTTGCGGCCAAGGCGCGCAAGAACGTGGAGAATGCCCGGCTCATGCTCGACTCGATCAAGGCCAGGAGGAAGGCGGCTGCCGGCGGTGATCTGGACAACCTGAGCGAGGAGGCGCGCGCGGAGATCGAACAGGCAGAGGATGAATTTGTCGGCCAGACTGAGGAGGCCGTGAGCGTGATGAAGAATGTATGTTCCGTTAAGGGTCTGTTTGGATGTACCCACACTGACCTGTGTCTAGGTTCTTGACACCCCTGAGCCTCTGCGGAACTTGGCAGACTTGATTGCTGCGCAACTCGAATTCCACAAGAGAGCCTACGAGATTCTCAGTGAGCTGGCTCCTGTAGTGGATGGATTGCAGGTTGAGCAAGAGGTATGTCATCCCCGGCTTGCTTTGGTTATGTCCAAACCCATTCTAATCCGACTCAGGCTAGCTACCGTAAGAGCCGTGAGGGTGCTTAGACTGCGCCTGGTCGTGTCGTTCTCTCCTTATAGTTTTTTTTTTCCCTTCTCGTCAGCCGCATTGTGATAAACGCTACTGTTTCTGCCACAGACTTATATCCTTATATCCTTTTCGCAAATGTAGACTGCTGATTCATCGGTATTGCACCTACTTTACTTACAATTGTAATTCTATAATTATCTGCTTCGTAGACATGAGCATCACTGCACCGCCACAGATACCATCTACGGTGCCAAGACGGTTCCGCATTGCTGCCTTAGCCATCAGGCTGCAAGGCACCAACGAAGCACGGAGTATGGAGAACCTCAGAGCTCCGCCGACGCTCCAAAGAAGAGAAGCAATCTTAAAGTCTTACTCTATCAACACGTTGCGTCCACAGCCCGTGTTTCGAACCAATCGCGCACGACCCTGGCTGTAAACTGGCTCGTCTTCAGCTACGGAGCCTCACGACCCATACGAACGTCACATCAGGATACCACTACCTCTATCCGTACCTCTAGCTCATCTCCATCTCCGCTGCCTCATCCCGACAGACACAACTCCATAACTCCCCAACTCCATCCGTACGAACTGAACATTCAACCGTATCAGGCTGGCCCTGTACACCCACAGTCTATCACCCGACCTCTCTCGACCAGAACACCGTTGAACCACCACTACCATCACAACCATGGCAAACGGGTCCGTCACCCACACCCTCCCTCTTCATGCTCGCCTCCTCAAACAAACACTAACAAGTACACTCACACACAGATGGAGTCTCATCATCGGCCTCGTCATCGTCGTGCTCGCAGCCCTAGCAGCATGGATCTTCAGTCCTAAGGGGGAGAACCAGACGTGAGTTTTCCTTTCCTTCCGCTCCCTTCCCTCTTTGCGTTCTGTTTCTGTTTCAATGCGGAAGCTGATGCTGATGATATGCGATAGGTTGTGGCGGAGTACATTGATTCTATCGCTTGCGTCGTGTTATCTGATGTGGGGTATGTATTTCCTTTTTCCTGTTGGGATAGAAGGCAGAGTGCTGATGCCTGTGCTGTGTCAGCTGTTACGTTCCTTGCGCAGTGGCATCCGCTTATTGTGCCGAAGAGAGCGGATATTCGGCCTGATCGCGTACCGCATTGAGTTTTCTTTACCAGTTGGTTGCGGGTGAGGGTTAATCGATTGATTGGGCTGGAAGGTACTGGGAGGGAGTGGCTGTATAGTGGCCTATGTTTTTATATGCGGGCACAAATTACTCGACTGGTTACAAGGCTGGTTGCTTTAGCGCTGTTTTCTAGAGATTGAATTGATACTCTATCGGAAATAAGGGGTCATGAGTCTGAATATGGTGACATGAATGGTAGACTAGATTGTTCAGCCGATGCCCACCGCACCGAGAATCACCCTCTGCACTGTCCACCGCGCGAGCAGGCCGGCCACCGCCAAGGCTACCGCGCGCAGATACCCGCACCCGAGAAGGATGTACAGCGCTTCGATATTGCTCAACAGCCCGAGGTGCGTATCCGCTGCCCCAAGCGAGAAGAGCGAGCCGACCAACTCGGCACAATTCGTCAGGTAGCTCGTTGGCACGGACGCCGGAATCAACCACGCAAGGCTGGAGACCAGCTTGTCGAGCACGGACGACGACACCGAGGATACGAATCCCGTCGCGCCGGGAGCGGCTGCGCTCGCGGTCGGGGTGTATCTGCTCAACATCCGCTGCGTCAGAGTGGAATGCGTCATCCCGCCGGCGCTTGGGTTGTCCTGTTCGACGGATGCAGACGAGCTGCCGCTGCCGTCGGGACCCCAGATGACGAGAAGGATAGGAAAGAGCTTAGCGCAGCTGCTGACGAGAAGGGCGGTGCTGATGGCTGTGGGGCTGGCTGGGGACGGGGGTGGCAAAGGCCGGATGCTCTGCGCGGGCGCGGTGGACGCACGGCGCAGAGGCGGCGGGGGGAAGGGGAACGATGCCTGTGGTGTAGACGCGAGGTTGTGATGTTGATCAGTCCCGAGATTTGTAGTGGATGCCGAGGTGCCCAAGGCAGCAGCACCGGCCGAGAGCGAGACGTCCTGGGAGGAACCGTAAGGTGTGAGCCTCGTCGGGCTCATTGCCATCCCAGCGGTGGGTGACTGTTGCCCTGACGGGGTGACTGACTGGGGCACGGTCGAGAACGAGGGGAAGACGGGGGTGGATGGATTCGAAAGGATAGGTCCCTCGGTTCCGCTTGTGTGGGTGCTGCTGCTGCCATACGGTGTTGGTGAGAGCACGGAGGCGAGCAGCCTAACCGTGAGATGATGCGCAAGAGTTGCGACGGCGTTCAAGCTTAGAAAGAAGAGGTATTGCACAATGATGGGCGTGCGGGCAAGCCAGGACGCTGCGAGCGTGGGGGACCTCTCGATCCGCGCCCAGGTGAGGTATACATCGAACAAAAGGAGAAGAACTCCCAGACGGATGATTGAACGCTACGAATCGAGCCAAATCAGCAATGATCCAAGAGGTAGGAAGGTGGTCCGTACATCGAATCGATCATTGTTACCCCCTAGTCGGTTGAAGAGTAGGTGTCGGTAGACCTGGCCACTCAGTCATCGATCACAATCCAGTAAAGGTAGAATCAAACAAAATACCTGAGGTTTGATGAGGACTAGATCAATAAAAAGCACCACAAAATCATGTTCCACATATTTGTCCGCAAAGCGCTTGCAGCGCGGACATTGCGTCAGACGCACGCCCTTGCCCAAAGAGCGGTCGTCGGCGCGGCTGTAAGTGCTATACAGGTGCGAGACGGGGTAAGAACATTCGATGCAGATGGGCATCGTGTCATTGATTCATGATTATAGATTTATCCATGGTTTGTGGAGAGAAGAAGAGCGATCATGGAGCAGGTTGCGCTGCTTCGGTGGTGGACGGAGACAAGCCATGGCAATCCCGAAGGCGGTCAGTTTCTGTTTGTGGCATTGCCAGTCTATCAATAACTCAATTCCTCGCTCCTCTATGTACTCTATGATGGATATATATACGTAATAGAAATGAATATATGCAAGAAAATGGAAAGCAGAGTCCGCTCAATCAACCACGCCGGTGTCGTCGGCCCAGCTTGGCTGAATGCTGCGACACACAGCTTCGTAATCCCGAAACTTTTGCGAATCTTCCACCAGGTCAGGGGTAGTCCAGAACATAGTCCAATTGGTGTCGGATAGCTTCCAAGTGCCCAGAGATCTTTCAAAATACCATTTGTTCACCGGATTGTTCTTGCGGCTGCGCCAGCATACTCCGTTGGGAAAACAGGAGCGCACCATGGCGTTGAAGACAATGTCTGCCACCCCGCCTGCCCCTTGGCTGCGCTTGAGCACGGCGAACTTGTCCAAGTAGGGGACCATTCGAGCGTTACTGGCCTCACTGCCATCGTCCTTCACGCCGGGAGGAAGTTCCCAGGTTAGAATGGCGCCGCCCTCGTATTCACCAGCAATGATCAACCCGGCAAGGCGGTCGTTGACACGGTTCAAGTAGTCTTGTACGTCGAGTTTCCGGTCAAAGGAATCCTCAATGAGACGCACCAAGCGAGGCAAGTCGATGCTAGGATCGTCCAACTTCAGCCGCGGCCGACTCTGAGCTGTCCACGGCTCCGCCCACGGATTGGGCAGCATAGTCAGCGGCATACCGCGTTTGACAAACGTAGTATGAGAGGTGACGGGATAAATGGTGTCTTGCCCATTGTTCATCGGTCCACGCCGGCTCATGGGCAGGGACGACGATAGCAAGGGCTTATCCGTCAGTAGATTGTGAATTAGGGGGTTTCTTTGCCGTCGAGTGCCCACTGCGGAAAACTCAGAAGTGGGCGAAGTCTGGGCCGAGCTCGCGACCTCGAATGGCGATGTGATGATTCCTGATGAGGCCGAGGGTAGCATAGCGAGCGCTTTCTGGGCGACACGTAGATTTTCCAGATGGCCTTCGATTGCACTCCTGTGGGGGGCCGCAATCTTCAGTTCCTCTGGCGGCCCAGAAGGCACTGGCACAACCTCTTCGTTGACGAATTTTGAAATTGGGTTGTTATCTGTGATGGAACTGGGGCCCGCCTTCAACAGGCTTGACTCTGCAGCGGGCACAATCTCTGATGCCTGTAACAATTCGGTTTCGATATCATCGTATTCTTGCTCCATGTTTATGAAGACGTGGGATGTCTGTCGCCGATTGAACGCCGGAATTCCACCTAGCGAATCTAATAGAATCACCCTATCCAAGGACACCTCTCTCTGGAGGCGGCCGATTCTTTCCGCAGTGACCATAGGATCCTCATCAGGGTCCGGACTGCTTGCAAGACCAGCGAGCTCTTTCGTCAACGCAAGTACAACATCGTTCGCTGGAACTGTGACCGCCCGAGGAACATCTTCGGTGTATGCAATGGGGGTCAGAATGACGGTGTGGCCATGGCGTAGCGGATCCAGCAGCGCTTTTCGAGAGAAAACTTGCGGGAGACCAGAACCGGAAGGGTCAATGGTGAAGACCGAGTCGAGACGAAGAGATTTCGAGTCGGGCTGCTTTTGAATTGCGATTGCCAGGCGGTCGGCTTGCTCAATAGCAACTTGCCGCAGTGTACTTGCAACTTCCTCCGTCCTCGGATCAACCACAACACAGCAGGTCAAGCCCAGCCGGTTCAGCTGAGACAGAGTCTTTGCGACGCCGTCGATAATGCTGTCATCAAGCGATTGCGGAGTGGACAATCGGACCAAGGCCAAATGCAGTCGTTCGAGTGGCTCGAGTGGAGGGGGAGGGATAGGGCTGGGGCCTTGTCGGAAGACCGGACTCTCGTAGACGGATCTGGAGGCTCCGTAGAATGACCCCAAATTGACACCAGAGGGTAAGGTAGGTGTTGTAGCTGTTTTCACAGGCTCGGGCTTGTTCTCATCGGGTGACTTTGGGTGCTGAGCCTTCAACCGAGCCAGATAGGATTTGGCTTCTCGCTTAGTGGACGCAGAGCTCAACAAGCTAAGAAAGAATTCCTGCAATTGCGAGAAAATGAAAACTGTTAGCCTATTGAGCTTATAACCACGCACTACAGGGTGACTGTACCCGGTCGAGCAGCTTCTCCTTTGCTCCTTGGCCTAACCGGTCATAACTCCGACTAGTAGAAGAAAAGTCGGCGCTCTGCTGGACATGTCGACMAGCAGTAGTGGAAAAGGATCGAGGGAAGAAAGCGGATGTATGCTGGCAGGTGCAAAGCGAAGAGCGGTGCTTCTGGACATTATAAATGCGGTCAGAGAGGCTTGAATTCGGGTTGTTGCTCTGATTCAGGTACCTTGAGGAGAGATGACTGGACCGTCCGCGGCCAACCGGTGTGAGGGCTCATGTTTCGTTCCTGTCAAAGACCCACGAGAACAAGACCAGAAAGGGATGCATGGAAGAAAAGGAGTGAAGATGGGCTAGAGGAATGAAATATGAGTTATATGTAGCGGTCAACCCTGCAGCCAGAAAATGGGCGACAGGCTCAGAAGCTATCGAGGGAGCCCAATGAAAATACTGTGTGTAGTATGAGTCGATGCGGGATTAGTTTTCTTCTTACTCCGGACTATGACGCACTCCGCTGTCGGTCGCCTGTTACATTCATTACTCTCCTTCTATTCGCAAAAACTGTCGCAAAAACTGCTGTCAATAGAATTGCTCGTCATTACGCGCTGCATTAAGATATGAGAGAAATTCCCTCATTCTCATACTCATTGATGAGATGCCCAGTCCGAATGGTGGATAATCGCTCATAGTAGTATCCGAGTGTTACTGCTCTTACGGTCGACACTATATACTCCAATAGAGAGGTACGTTGTAGTATGTAGAGTAAATCCGATCCGATAGTTTCCTGGGCTTTTTCCACTGGTCCAGGCTAGTATCACTGCTGGGTAGCTTAAATGATGGATGAAACACTGAGGGGCTGACCATAGGTACAGTACGAACTACTTGGGAGCTAGTCACGTTACTTGACAGGTCTTAAAGAAATGCTGAAAATTCTGTGTTGAAGAATGCTCGATAGACGACCACTAAGGTATCTACCTAGTGCTGCTACTACTACAGAGTTTTCCCCTGGTGGCAACCGTATAGTCTGCAGATTCTGAGATAGCACAATCAATCGGATAGCTTCTCGAGTTGCATGATGCAGGTCGCTTATTACCATCCTGGTCAATATGCAGCAAAAGAATTGTATATTCCTAGTAATCACATAGAATGCCATCAATCTTCAAATAATCAAATTTATGTAAATAATCAGTCAATTCTATTTGATCTACCTCATAATAATGATCTTATCATATCACCCGCATTAAGGTGCTCCACAGTCCACTCGCTTTTTCTTAGGCTTGCCCGCCGGATCGGAAACCCCTCTAATTTTCAGCCCTCCCCCGTCATTCTCCGCCATCGCCATCACTACCTAGGTATCTGTGCACCAGTCATAGATTTGAGTCTTACAATCTTTCTTTTCGTCAGTCTAGTTGGGAGATATCGGATACATCCGACAGAACAAGAGACACTGAACTCCTTTGGCCATGGCGGAACCTACCCATCAGACCGAAACCATAGCCGGTTTCAAGCCCTTGTCCAACGCAGAAGACTATTCCCTCCCTGCGACGGCCAGCGATTTATCTCCACGTGCAGAGGCGGCTATGGCGAATGGTCTTCCCTTAGAGACTGCCGACGAAGACCACGATGAGGAGGTGGACGAAGATTATGTCGCGGTCGACCCTGAGGAGATTAGTGATTTCTCGTATTGGCTCCGGCGCCCGCCTGTGCATCAGCGCACCAAGTTGGATGAACTGCATCCATTTGTCCAAATCCTGACGGTTTCCAATGTGGATGATTGTGTCGAGGTTGAAAACGCTTTTCCAGAGAACGAGCGCTGCTCTCGAGAGAAGGTGTGTTCTCTTGTCAGAAACTGCTGTTTGAATTAATCGGAATCTTCCTCCTGACCTTTTTCTGTTCTCTGCCAGTTTATCTACCGCCTCACAAAATGCCCTGAATTATGTCTAGGCCTGTTCACCATTCCCATTATACCGAAGGGCCAACCCAAGCCGCGTCCGACTTTGATCGGTCATATCATTGCCACGCGGGCCTCAACACAACTTGTCACAGACAATGCCATGAAGCTCCCGTCTAACTGGAAGAGTACGCGCGTCGTTACGGAGAATGGAGAAACCATCGGACACGACGAGTATGGCAGCACAATCGCCATCCATTCCCTCGCCGTACTTCCGGAACACCAGGGCAAGCAGGTCGGGAGCACTTTGATGAAGTCATATATCCAGCGGATCAGAGAAGCCGCAATTGCAGAGCGCATCTCCATCATTGCGCATGACCATCTGGTGCCCTTTTACGAGTCTTTTGGGTTTGAGAACCGTGGGCCGAGCAAGTGTCAGTTTGGTGGTGGCGGATGGACTGACCTGGTAAGTTTCTTCTTGATTGATTAGAAGATGTATGGCCTCATCAGACTGTGAATGCTAACTGAATCAGGTGCTGGAATTCCCCCAAGAATAATCATGAGTTCATGACCAAATGGTTCAACTTACTTCGAGTTCTGTATTGCGTGTTCTCGTTCGGCAAGACTGATGTCATCTTTCATCTTTTTTTTTTTTGTTATTCACTCTATCTTCTATCTTCCCATTTCTTCTTACCCCGAGCTTGCATGTTAATGGGTCACACTCTGGTTTTTGGTCTTAGATGGTGGGCTTTACGAGGAAAAAGCAACGGAGTTCTGTCAGTGATTCTGGGACGGAGGGACTGGGTTTTCAGCCATCTTATGTGTAACCATACTCCCATGATGATAGTCAATGTACATGATTATGATTAGAATGCAATAATTATTATCATAATTCTATCCTTTCTTTTTATCTATGATCAATAATCTATTCTCTGTGACCAGAGTCTCGCTACTTTTCCCTCCCCACATCTGCGCTATTCACCGCCCGCCAAAATCTGCCCGCCCGACCGCCCGCAAATAATTTTTTTCCCTCCGTCTATCAACAACACCTCCATCAGCTCGTCCACCGGGAAACACAGCAAGAGTTTTTCAAGTTTTATTTCTCTTGCCGGTGCCCATCATGAAGACGACCTGGAAGGATGTAAGTTATTTTGTTCACTGATATATTCTCAAATACTTTGTTGGAACAGCCAAAACTGATGGATTTTTCACCGCTTGGTTAGATCCCACCTGTGCCAACGAACCAAGAGTTCTTGGATATCGTTCTCAGTCGCACACAGAGACAGCTCCCTACACAGATCCGTGCTGGTTTCAAGATCAGTCGTATTAGAGGTATGGGCAATTTCATGGATTTCGGCATGGATCTGCGAACGGATACCGTATCCGTCCGATTCTATGTCCTCAAAGAGGATCAGTGGCACTAACGAAAATTCTCTGCGCAACAATAGGTTTCTACACTCGAAAGGTCAAATACACCCAGGAAACGTTCTGCGAAAAATTCCAGGCGATTCTCGATGGATTCCCCAGATTGCAGGATATCCATCCTTTCCGTATGTCCCTGCATTGACTTGAGATCTCATTTCCTCTGTAACTAACATCCTTCAGACAAGGATCTGATGAACACCCTTTATGACGCCGACCACTTCAGAATCGCTCTTGGCCAGGTATCGACCGCCAAGCATCTCATCGAAACCGTGTCCCGCGACTATGTCCGCCTTATCAAATATGCTCAGTCTCTGTTTCAGTGCAAGCAGCTCAAGCGTGCCGCCTTGGGTCGTATGGCCACCATCTGTAGACGTCTGAAGGATCCTCTTGTCTACCTGGAGCAGGTTCGCCAGCATTTGGGTCGTCTCCCTTCCATCGACCCCAACACCCGAACTCTCCTGATCTGCGGATACCCCAATGTCGGAAAGTCCAGCTTCTTGCGCAGCATCACCCGTGCCGATGTCGATGTCCAGCCTTATGCGTTCACCACGAAGAGTTTGTTCGTCGGCCATTTCGACTACAAGTACCTGCGATTCCAGGCTATCGACACCCCTGGTATCCTGGACCACCCTCTGGAGGAGATGAACACGATTGAAATGCAGTCCATTACCGCTATTGCCCATCTTCGCTCTGCCATCATGTACTTCATGGATCTTTCCGAGCAATGTGGCTACTCGGTCGCCGATCAGATCAAGCTCTTCCACAGCATCAGACCTCTGTTTGCCAACAAGATCGTCTTCCTTGTGGTCAACAAGATTGACGTTCGTCGTCCCGAGGACCTTGAACCGGAATACCAGGAGGAGATCCAGAAGATCCTCAAGTCCGGCGATGTGGAGATGCTGCAGTTGTCATGCGCAACCACCGAGGGTGTCACGGCCGTGAAGAACGCTGCTTGCGACAAGCTCCTGGCCGAGCGGGTGGCTCAAAAGCTCAAGTCCGGCACCAACAGCTCCGGTACCCCCGGAGGTCGTCTGGGTGACGTGCTGGCGCGTATCCACGTGGCACAGCCTGTCGGTGGTGTGCGTGAGGCATTCATTCCCGAGGCGGTCAAGGACTTGAAGAAATACGACAAGGACGACCCGAACCGGAAGAAGCTCGAGCGGGACATCGAGGAGGAGAACGGCGGTGCCGGTGTGTACAACGTCGACCTCAAGAAGAACTACATGTTGGCCGACGACGAGTGGAAGCACGACAAGATCCCCGAGGTGTGGAACGGCAAGAACGTCTACGACTTTGTGGACCCGGACATCGAGCAGAAGCTGGCCGCGCTGGAGGAAGAGGAGGAGAAGCTGGAGGCGGAGGGCTTCTACGAGTCGGACGAGAGCGTCGAGGATGCCGAGGACGCAGACAACCGCATGAAGGCGGACCTGATCCGCGAGAAGCGCGCGCTGATGCGCAACGACGCCAAGCTGCGCAAGTCGCTCAAGAACCGGGCGGCCATCCCCCGCAGCGCCAAGGCCAAGAAGCTGTCGCAGATGGAGCAGGCTCTGGACGCGGCCGGCTACGACGTCGACGCGGCTGCCGCGCGCGCCCGCTCCCAGAGCCAGGTGCGCGGCCGCACCACCACCCGCAGCGAGATCGACACCGGCGACGCCATGGAGATCGACGGCTCGGATCCTCGCCAGGCGATTGCCCGCGCCAAGAGCCGCGCCCGCAGCCAGCCTGCCACCAACCGTCTGCTCGACGGTGTGACGGACACGGCGGCCCGCAGCAAGGCCGAGCGCATGACCAAGCTGGGCCAGAAGAAGATGAACCGGATGGCCAGAGCCGGAGAAGCAGACCGACACACGACCGCCTCCTTGCCCAAGCATCTGGTACGTTTTTCCCTTACCATTCCTCTTTCCTGTGATTCCCCTCATCCACTAACTTTATCACACAATAGTACACCGGAAAGCGCACGATCG